GGCTGGGTGAGAGGCTGAGCCACTCCGGGCAGTAGGGAGCCCGTGCAATGTTCAAAAGGATGCCCGGGGGAGTTAATGTCCGCGGGACCTGGCTGGCACTTCCCCCTCCCCGCCACCACTTTCAGCATGTCAAGTCGGCCTCCCCAACCCCACCTGTGCTTGCTCGCTGCTCTCACCCCTGCTGGCTCAGAGGGAGGGCAGCAGTGGGCCGAGGAGGGCACGTTCTCAGGTTCCCGGACAGCGTGCCGGCACAGCTGTGTCTTGGCCTGGCCCCAGGTCCTGCGTCCCCAGGGCCTGAGCTGAGCTCATAGCAGAGAAATGCAGCAGCGGGCAGGCACAGGGGAAGGTCGCGTGGAGAGGGGAACGGGGGGGGGGTCCTCAGGCCCAGCCCCTCCATGCTGGGAACCATGTGGCGTGGCCACGGGCCGTGGGAATGCTGGCCTTGGGACTCTCCAGTCCCCAGGGGACCTGGACACCTTGGGCGGTGGCTGTAGCAGAGGAACTTACATGAGAGTTGGTTTTTTTTTTTTTTTGCGGGGGTTGGCACATGGCGCCTCTTTCCTGCTAGGTGGGCCGAGCAGGGGGTACACTGCAGCTCTTTCCTATAGAGCCCACTCTCCCGTGTTGTCGTCTGTCCTGGCTCCCCTTGTCACGCCCTCGTCCCCTCCCCTGTAGATCAAACGCTGCTGCCCGGGGCAGAGTCACAGCTTCCTGCCTGGTAGACACTGTGCCTAAATCCCTTGGTTGCCCCCTTTGATGAGGAGCTCATTACCTTCTGGAACCCTGGGAAAAAATGAATGCTCTGCTTAGGGAAGGAGCCAGCCTTCCTCCCAGCACCCCAGCTCTGCACCCTGCCCCAGAGCCCTCCAGACCCTGCTCAGAACTCCCAGAACCTGAGAATGACTTTGGTCCCGCCCCTACCCACTTCTTTGGCCACTTGCTGGGTGACTCTGTGCCCGCTGGGGGAATGCTGGAGTCCTCTGCCTTCTCCATGCTTGCCCATCCTGGTGGTGGTGGGGGGGACAGGGCAGGAGGCAGACACCCCTTGTTGCCCATCCGCTTATCAACAAGAGGGCATTGGAGAGAGCTGAGAAGCAAAAGGGGCTCAACTCGGTAAGGAGAGAGAGCATTGCGGTGCCCGCTGCAATGCCAGCCTTTCGTCTTGGAATGCCAGCTTGAGTTCCGGCTGCTGTCCTTCCATCCAGCTCCCTGCTAATGTGCCACGGGCGGCAGCAAAGGATGGCCCAAGTCCTCGACCCCTGCACCCATGTGGGAGACCCGGGTGGAACTCCTGGTCTGGCCCAGCCTGATTAGCATGGCCACTCAATGGCAAATCAAAGTGTTCTGTCTATTGCTCTTTCAAATACCTAAATAAACATTTTCTTTATAGGGTGTATGTGTGTGTGTGTGTATTTAGGGGGAACCCCACTCTCTACCTGGAATCCTTGGCGAAAGAACCAAGTCCAAGATCGGGGTGGGAGAGCAGGGAAGACCTTGCTGGCAGCGGTGGCGTGGGCAGAGGAGCGGCAAGCGTGGGAAGCCGAGCAGCCGCCACGGAGAAGTGCTCTGTGGCTTCCTGTTTCGGGAGGAAGCTGGGAGTGCTGGCTGTCCCCGGAAGAGACAAGAGCGTGGGCACGGTTGTGTTGGCACAGGCGGCCAGCAGGGCTGGAGGGGGCCAGGTGGGCCTCTGCCCATCACGCAGGGGCCTGCGAGCTGGCTGTGTCGGGGAGGGATGGGCTGGGTGGGGTTTGATGAGTGCAGGGTAGGACCTGAGCTGAGCCTACCTCTGGGGCCTGTTGACTCAGCATAACTCACGGTGACTCAGCACTTTGTAGCATCTTAGGCAACTTTCCGTGGTCATGCCCTCTCCCTTCCTTGCCCAGCTGGGCTGTGCATGGCTGGCCGGTCACCTCCCGGATTTGGGTTCAAATCTCGCTGCTTCCTGAGAAAGCCTTAGGCAAGTCGTCCCTGGTCCCTAGATTCTGTGGCCAGCCTGGGGTCAGTCTGGGACCCGGCTAGAATTTCAATTCTTAGCGCTGTTTGTTCTGTCTCAGTTATGAATCTTCCAATGGTCCCCCGGGAGGGTCAGGCGTTTGGCTGCACATCACGCGCTTGGAAGGGTGTGTGTTGGCGTGCTGTGGGAGGCAGTGGGAACAGCTCAAGTAACTGGGCTCCTGGCACCCCACATGGGCAGCCAGGATCCCATAGAGGCACCAGTGCATGTCCCAGCAGCTCCACTTCCCATCCAGCTCCCTGCCTGTGGCCTGGGAGAGCAGTGGAGGACGGCCCAAAGCCTTGGGACCCTGCACTGATGTGTGGGAGACCCGGATGAAGCTCCAGGCTCCTGGCTTCAGATTGGCTCAGCTCCAGCTGTTGCGGTTACTTGGGGAGTGAATGATCGGACAGAAGATCTTCCTCTCTGCCTTTCCTCCTCTCTGTATATCTGACTTTGCAATAAAATAAAAATAAATCTTAAAAAAAAAATAATAATAACAAGATAAAGAGGGGCCAGGCCAAAGCGAAATGGAACACTGGCCCAGCAGGTGCCTAAACGCCAGCATCCCAAATGACTCCTTTTCTAGTGAGGGAGTTCGGTCACCTTCATTCAGGTGAGCAGTCAGTGCTGGGCACCTCCTTGTGTGGTACCCAAGGGAAATAAAAGCGTGGCTTCTGTGCCTCCCCTCTCTCCCCCACTGCCTCAGTGGACAGCATGGCCTTGATGGCCGGGTATCAGCAGGTCCACAGCCGGTCCTGGGGACTTGAACCTTGAGCGTCCTGGAAGACTTGGGTTTCAGCCGCAGGGAGGAGACCGGCCCCGCAGGCTGTCGCTGCTGAGACAACCCCCGTGTGAGCAGGGCTGGAGGATGCTGTGTGTTAGGAAACACACAGGCAAAAGTATTTGGGGCAAAGGAACAGGACGCCCGCAATTCCCCTCCGAGCGGCTGGGCTAACAGACATGGGCCTGTGTGTGTGTGTGTGTGTGTGTGTAAGTCAGATGTGAAAGATGGGCGTGAACTGGGACAAAGGCTTGTGGCAAGTGTACTTACATTTTAGATAGATTTTTTTTTTAAGAAAGCTTTTGAAGACTTATTTATTTATTTATTTTTATCACAAAGGCAGATCTACAGAGAGGAAGAGGGACGTCTGATGATTCACTCCCCAAGTAACCGCAACAGCCGGTGCTGCGCCGATCCGAAGCCAGGAGCCAGGAACTTCATCCAGGTCTCCCATGCAGGTGCAGGGTCCCAAGGCTTTGGGCCGTCCTCCACTGCTTTCCCAGGCCACAGGCAGGGAGCTGGATGGGAAGTGGAGCTGCTGGGATTAGAACTGGCGCCCCTATGGGATCCCGGGCGTGCAAGGCAAGGAAGGACTTTAAGCAGTAGGCTGTTGTGCCAGTCGAAACCAGGAGCCAGGAGCTTCTTCCAGTTTCCTGTCGGTGCAGGGTCCCATGCTTAGACTTTGATAGCCTCCTCAGCTTCCCTCCCAGGCCATTAGCAGATAGCTGGAAGGGAAGTAGAGCAGCCAGGGTGTATTTGGGACTGCGAGTGTGACAGGCTAGACACAAGGCCTGGTCCCTGCAGCCCCAGCTTTCAGTTTTTTTCCTTTTTTAAAGATTTTTCCAAAGGCAGGGCCAGGCGTGGTTGCCTCACAGCTAAAAGTCCTCACCTTGAACAAACCAGGATCCCATAGGGACACCAGTTCTAAAATCGGCTGCTCCACTTCCCATCCAGCTCCCTGCTGGTGGCCTGGGAAAGCAGTGGAGGACGGCCCAAAGCCTTGGGACCCTGCACCTGCGTGGGAGACCTGGAAGAGGCTCCTGGCTCCTGGCTTCGGGATCTGCACAGCACCGGCCATTGCAGCCACTCGGGGATTGAATGATTGGACAGAAGATCTTCCTCTCTGTCTCTCCTCCTCTATATACATCTGACTTTGCAATACAATTAAACAAATCTTGATCTTTGGTCGGATGGTTTGCTCCCCACGGGGCTTCTGCTCTCCCAGGCCACGGGCTGGGACCTGGATGGGAAGCAGGGGAGTCTCCAAGGCCTCCCAGGGTGTAATCCTCTCCGTCCTCAACAACCCCTCCAGCGCTGGAACAGAGCTGCTGGCTGGCAGCTGGGAGGGCACACGTATGGTTCCGCTTGGAACCTTCACCCACTCCTGGGTGTGGCCCTGCCCAGGCTGGGCATTTGCCTGGTGCCCGGGGTGCTCAATGTAGGGTGTGTGTGTGTGTGTGTGTGTGTGTGTGTGTGTGTGTGTGTGCAGGGAGCGCCTGCGAGCAGTTTTTTTTTTTCCCAGGCTGGGCTTGCCCTAAGGTCCCCGGCTCCCGCCTCTGAGCCGCTAGGGGCTGCGGGTCTGATGTTGGAAAAGTGGCTTAATGCAATGCAGAGAGATGAGCTTAACCGACCAGGCGCGGCGGAGGCGGGGCGGGGGTGGGTTGGACCCCCGAAGTTGGTGCAGGGAAACGCAGCTGGGAGTCAGGGGTGTGTGTGTGTGCGCGCGCGCGCGTGTACGTGGGATGCGGGAGGAGTATGCATGAGAGCTGTCCCCCATCCCCACCCCACCCCACCCCAGGCTCGGGGAGGACCTGGTTGGCTGCACGTGGGTTTCAGAGTTGGGTTGGAGGTCGCAGGAGAGTCCCCGAGGAGCGCCTGGCTGGCTGCGCGCTCTGGAGCCGCTGGGATGGGGAAGGGGGGACCGGCCAGGGTCTGTGCGTGCCCCTCCCGCACCCTCACCACCTAGGGGGGAAAAAGGGAGAGCCCTGTCCGTGCGGGTGCACGTGGGGCAGGGACCCCCGCCCCCTCGGCGCCCTCTCCCCAGCAGGGGCGCGCAGGCTGGGCCGGCCCCGGAGGCGGAGCGAGCCGCCCAGGGCTGGGGGCGGGGAGGCTGGGCGGCAGGCTCACTCGGGCGAAGTTGGCGGCGAGGAGGCTGGCCCGGGACGCGCCCGCAGCCCGGGGAAGGAGGGAGGAGGGGAGGAGGGAGGGTCGCGGCAGGCAGCCATGGGGCCGGGGACCCAGGGCCGCCGCCGCCACCGCCACCCGGCGTCCCCACCGCCGCCCGTACGGGCGCTGCCGCTGCTGCTGCTGCTGCTGCTGCTGCTAGCGGGGCCGGGGGCTGCAGGTGAGGGGCAGGGGCGTACGGGATCGGGGAGGGATAAGAGAAAACGGGACTTCTCCTCCTCCCGGGTTAGGCAGAGGCGGTGGGTGGGGGGTGGTCGTGGGAGCCGCGGTTGGAGCAGGGGCGCGCGGGAGCTTAGGGGAGCCGGGAGGTGAGAGCGCGCTTGCCAATGCCAGGGTGTCGCAGGGACTGGAAATGAGGTTTCCAGTGTCCCGGAGGCCTTAGGATCAAGAATCCAGAAGCGATCGGGGCCCAAGACGGGCGGGATCCAGAGTCTGGGGTCACCCCCATCCTACGCGCGCCCCGCACCCCGACCCCAGGCTGGGGGGACCGTCTCGTAGAACCGCTCCCCATTTTCCGAACGCATACCCATTTTCTCTCCGCCCCCCCCCAACTCCCCTCCCACGCCGCAGACTGCCCCGGACGACCAGAGCCGGGTGGGTAAGGGTGGGAAGAAGGGGGCCGGGGAGGGGAGGGGGCGCCAAGTTCTCAGAGCTCGAAACTCGGGGAAAAAACTTCCCAGGCCGGAGCGCGGCAAGACCCGGAGCCGGATCCGGAGTCGGAGCCCCGGCCTTGCCCCGCGCCCCTTCCCCTCCCCACCGAGCGCAAGGAGCGGCCCAGCTCCCCTCCTCTCCTGGCCTAGGGAAGCGGGTCGCCCCCCGGGACCCCACTCCTTCACGGGGAAAGGAGGGAAGGGGCGCGGACCCGCGTGTTCCGCTCTGGCTCTCTGCGCCCCCTCCCCAGCCGGCAGAGCAGGGGGCTCCCCTCCTCCCCGCTGCTGCTCCTCCACCACCTCCTCCTCCTCCTCCTCCTCCTCCTCCTCCTCCTCGTCTCTCCCCTCCCCCCTGCTCGGGACAATGGCTTCTGCGTCTAGACACCCCCTCCCTCCCGGCCGGCCTCGCGCTGTCTTTGCCAGACAAAGCGGCTGTGGCACGGGGTGGTTGGGGGCGGCAGAGCCCAGGCTGTGGGGGCGCCACTCCCAACTCCGTCAGGGGAGGCCTGGGCAGCCAAGGAGGGTCGCAGGGTCCAGGACCTGCTTCTGGGACTTTGAGGGGGATTGCTGTTTGTGAGCTGGGCTGGGGGGGGTGGGAGAGGTGGGAGGGTAGGGGGCGGTGAGGGGGGGTGGAGGACTGGTCCGCGCTGGACCAGCCCCAGGGCCTGAGCAAGGGAGAGCCAGAGAAGGAGGACAGGATGGGGCAGGACTGAGCACACGCATGGCCTGTCACACACACACACACACACAGCTCCGGGTGCCATGCAGGGTGCACACGCTCCAGCTGCAGCACAGCGGGCGGGCGCACACTCAGACACACCTAGCACAGATTCCAACACAGCTGCCCCGTTCACGCACACACACACACAGATGGGTGCCCATGCCTCCACACAGTCCTGCATGCACACACACACACACACACACACACACACGTGCACACCCCTGCACGCATGAATGGGCTTTGACACACAAGTTGCTGGCTCCCATGGTGTCACACCAGGGCCTGACAAACACACACACACACAGATTGACCGAGGACATATCACTCACACACACACACACACACACACACACACACTGTCTTCTGACCCAGCCACAGTTCTCAGCTGTCTGGTGGGACTGTGACCCAGCCACACCCTAGAGGGATACAGCCCTTAGGGATGGGGACACAGGATGGGACACGGACACACACACACACACACACACACACACACTGCCCCTGCAGCAGGAAGTGTTGCCTGCTAGAGACCGCCTGAGCCCACGAGTGAACCCACCCACCCACACCGTGGCCCACCTCCCAGACCCATCCTAGCAACTGCCGGACGCCCCGCAGAGGGGTGGGCAAGAGCCCTGGGCCCCAGAAGGAGTCTGGCGGCTTCCTTGGGCCCCCCACATCTGGCACACATCAGCCCCTCCTCCTGCCTGCCCCCCCTTGCGTTTTCTCGTGGTTCCCAGGGTTTGCTCGAGCTGGCAGGGACAGCTGCGGCTGCCCCAACAGCTGGGGCTGGGGCGGGGGGCCGTGGGAACGGAGGCACCCCCAGCCCACCAGGCAGCTGTTGCATGGGTGGGGGTTAGAGGTGGGGTGGGAGGCAGGGCTTCCTGGACACCCCCTCGCGACCTTCCTCTCCCTCCCGCTCCTCCCACAGCTCCCCCTTGCCTGGACGGAAGCCCCTGTGCAAATGGAGGTCTTTGCACCCAACTGCCTTCCGGGGAGCCGGCTTGCCTGTGAGTGCCTGGCCCAGCGCCATCCGTGGGGTGGGAGATCCTGCTTGGGGGTGGGGGGCACCTGGTTTGTCTTTGGCCTCTGTGGGTCCAGCCACTTCCTTACCTGAGTTGCTGAGGCTCCAGGGTAGCCTCCCTAGTACCCCTACAGCCAGGAGGCCAGCAGGGGGGCTGTGGAGTCTTGCCCTCGCCTGGATTCCAATTCTGCATTTATGGAGGGGAGGGCAGGAATTAAAAACAGACAACAGAGCTTGGGTTAATGTAGTAAGACTTTGGGGGGGGGGGACAAATATACTGGGCCTCAGTCTTTGCATCCGGAAAGTGGGCGTGAGGACGAAAAGATGCAGGTCAAATACGATTGGCTGAACGGAGTGCACTCCGGGCATACAGTGGGTGCTCAATAAAGAGGCGTGATTATTGGGGACGGGGAGGGTTTGGCTACCTAGGTGCTATAATTAGCAGGAGTTCACCCAGTCACCAGTTACGGGTTGATCCAGATGTATTGATTCCAACTCTTTTGTACCCAGGCATGGGTTACGCCCAAGCTTGGGACCCAGCAGACCCCTCCCTGTCCCCGTGAAGTTAGACGCGCACGGCGCAGGCTGTGTGTGTGTGTGTGTGTGTGTGTGTGTGTGTGTGTGTGTGTGTGTGTGTGTGTGTGTCTGGGGTCCCAGCTGCGCTCACCTTCTGTGGAGGCACAGCCATCCTCCCCCTCCGAGGGCCGGCCGAAGCTCGGGGTGTGTGCGTGTGTGTGTTTTTGGAGGAGGGGAAGGTCTAGGGCAAGCGTAACCTCGCTTGCTTGGAACCGCTCTTGGGGACCTGGCTGGGACGCGGGGAGACCCGGGCGCCTGCGCGGTGCCAGCTCCTGGCCTGGAATACAGCCGACAGGTGAAAGCGCCCGCGGCTGCCCCGCCTCCTCGACAGGTGAATCACCGGTGCGCGCGGCCGCCCGGAGCCCGGATCCCCTGGAGTGGAGCGGGCTCAGCGCCCACCCCTCCACACTCACCTCCCCAAGGCCTGGGCTGTGGGAACCGCTCTCCTGCACCCCTTCCCGTCCCCATCTCCTCCAAGATCTCAGCTACTCCTGACCTCAAGGGTTGCTCCCCCGAGTCTCACCCTCTCCTCCTTTTAAACAGGCTGGTCCCCACTCCCCTTTGGGCTTTCCAACGTCCTCCTCACTCCCCATCAAACCCCATTCCCTCTTGTTGCATCTCCAATCCCACCCGTCTGCCCTCTCCCCTTCCCCCTCCGGCCCCACAGCTCTGGCCCTGGGGCGGGGCGCGCGCGCGCGCGCTCGGCATTGGGGTTGGAACCGGCCCGACCGGTCGGTGGCGGCGGGGGCGCGGGGGCGCGGAGCGTGGGAACCCGCCCGGGGCGCCGGGAGGGGCCGAGCGCCAGCCGCACCCCGACCTGGTGGGGGCTGCAGGACCCCGCGGGCCGCGGCGCCCCCTCCGCTATGGGGGTGGGCGTGGGAGGGTTTGTTGGGAGCTGTGCCCTGCCCTGCCAGAGCCACCTGGCCCGTGCCCCGACTTGCTTCGCTGGGGGCCTAGGGGGGTTAGGAGGAGAGGGGGTGAACCTTGTGAGTGACGCTAAAGGACTGAGTCAGCGACTTCCCTGGGTGCGCCTGGGGCTGGAGAGTCGGGCTGGGTGGGGAGTTGTTGGGGAGGGGGGCGGGAGCGGACCCTGCGTCCTGTGGAAGTTTCAGGTGAAACCCAACTTGTTGCCAGTTCCCCACCCTAAGCCAAAGCTGCCCCTCCTCCGATGGGCTTAGGGTGGTGATGGTGGGGGGCTCCGGGCTGAAACACAGGGGCCCCTCCAAACCCAGCTTCCTCCTCCGGCCTGCACCCAGAGGAAGGTGTGTGGCAGGGGGTCCTGGGTGAATGGGGCAGAGGGCTACAAGGATTAGCGGGGGGTCCCTGGGAGTGAGCTGGTAGGCCGCCTCTGGTTTGTCTTCTCTGGGCTGGGTGTGCCCGCCCCCCCGAGGTGATCGGCTGGACTCTGAGGTTTTCCGGCCGCTGCCCCATCACCCCGAGGGTCTTTGCCCACAGTGCCAGTGTGCGAAGGTGCCAGCCCCAGGCCCTTCACCTCGGTTGCCCTGCCCCACCTCCTCCTGCTGCCAGCCGTGCCTTGGACACCAACAAAAAGCCAGCATGACCTCATCTGCAAAATTATGTCTGCAAAACTTTAAAAAATTTTTTTTACTTTCTTGTACTCGAAAGAGTGACAGAGGCGTTTGGTTTGGTTTTTCTTTCTTTCTTTCTTTTTTTTAATGAGGGGACAGGCAAAGTGGCTTACACCTTGGTCGTCTGCCTGCAGTGCTGGCATCCCATAGGGGCACCAGTTCGAGTCCTGGCTGTTCCACTTCCCATCCAGCTCCCTGTTACTGTACTTGGGAAAGGAGCAGAGAACGGCCCAAGTGCTTGGTTGTCCGTAGGAGACCCGGAGGAGGCTTCTGACTCTTGGCTTCAGACTGGCTCAGCTCTAGCTCTGGCGGCCATCTGGGGAGTGGACCAGTGGACGGAAAATTCTGCAACCTTGCCTAGCGAATACGAAAAGCAAAATGAATCTTTAAAAAGAGAGAGAGGTTGGTGCCCGCAATGGGCCAAGCTAAAGTCAGGAGCCAGGAACTTCACGAGGGTCATACTTCCTTGCGTGGGTGAGTGGCCAGAGGGCTCAGAGCATTTGAGCTCTGTCCCACTTGCTGTCCCCACGGGTGGCATTCCAGCCGGGAGCTGGATTAGAGCCTGCACCCCAAAGGAGCTGTCAGTATTCCAAACGGCAGTTCCCCCAAGATCTCTTTTTCCAATAAGGGTCGCTCCTTGTCCCAGCTGCTGTTGGGCATCAAGGACACTCACCATGCCCCGTGTGGTTCTTGTCAACCCCCTGCTGGCATGTCATATATATTAACTCGTTATCTGTGTGTGTGTTCTCTTTGCCTGAGCTGGCTCTGAGGACCGGAAGGGTAAGGAGCATGGCGGTCCCTCCCTGTCTTTTGTGGCTCCGCGCGTGTAGTAACCGCTTAGTGTTGCTTTGTCTGCCTGTGTCTCCTTGCGTGTCTGGCGTCTGTGTCCGAGTGCCGTCCCCTCTCCCCAACCCTGTGCTGCCCTCCCCATCCACCCCCTCCCCTCGCCATTAAGCTATCTCTGCCCGCAGGTGCCCACCAGGCTGGGTGGGGGAACGGTGCCAGCTGGAAGATCCTTGCCACTCGGGCCCCTGTGCCGGCCGGGGAGTTTGCCAGAGCTCCGTGGTGGCGGGCACTGCCCGCTTCTCCTGCCGATGCCCCCGTGGCTTCCGAGGTGAGAAGAGGGGAAGCCCACCCCCCCAGGCAGGCTAAACATGTGCTTCCTCCAGCAGCGTGTGCACACACACGTATACTCTCTCTCTCCAGGCCCCGACTGCTCCCTGCCAGACCCCTGTCTCAGCAGCCCTTGCACCCATGGTGCGCGCTGCTCCGTGGGGTCCGATGGTCGCTTCGTCTGCTCCTGCCCGCCGGGCTACCAAGGCCGCAGCTGCCGGAACGACGTGGACGAATGCCGGCTGGGCGGGCCATGCCGCCATGGGGGCACCTGCCTCAACACGCCAGGATCCTTTCGCTGCCAGTGTCCCTCGGGCTACACGGGGCCACTGTGTGCCAGCCCGGCGGCCGCGCCCTGCGCCCCATCTCCATGCCGCAATGGGGGCACCTGTCGACAGAGTGGTGACGCCACTTACGACTGTGCCTGCCTCCCTGGTGTGCAATAGAGATGGGAAGGGAATGGTGGGGTGCCGTGGGAGGGTAGGGGGGAAACACACCGGGCCAGCTTGTCTGTGACTCGCCTCGTCCGTCTCTGCCCCTCTCCTCCTTGTTAGGGTTTGAGGGACAGAACTGTGAAATCAATGTGGACGACTGCCCGGGACACCGGTGTCTCAATGGGGGCACCTGCGTGGACGGCGTCAACACCTACAATTGCCAGTGTCCGCCTGAGTGGACAGGTGGGTGGCGTGTGCCCTGCCTGGGCGGGGGCGGGGTGGGGAAGGGAGGGAGACCTTGAGCCAGATGCCCGCACGCCTGGGTGTGTCGCGTGTGTCCCCGCAGGCCAGTTCTGCACGGAGGACGTGGACGAGTGCCAGCTGCAACCCAACGCCTGCCACAACGGGGGCACCTGCTTCAACACCCTGGGCGGCCACAGCTGTGTGTGTGTCAACGGCTGGACGGGCGAGAGTTGCAGCCAGAACATCGATGACTGCGCCACGGCCGTGTGTTTCCATGGGGCCACCTGCCACGACCGTGTGGCTTCTTTCTACTGCGCCTGCCCCATGGGCAAGACCGGTGAGCGGGGTGGCTGCTGGCCTGGGAGGCAGCACCCTGGGGCCGTGGCACGGTGCGCAGAGGGACGCTTGGCGAGAGTCCGGGAGGCTGAGGCGGAGTGTGTGGGTGGTGGCTGAGTTTTGGGGGGTTAAGGGTGAGTGTGGGAGGGAGGAGGTTGGTTCAGGGTCTGGGGTAGAAGCTTCTGGAAGGAAAGGCTACTGGCAGGTGTAGCTGAAGAAGACGGGACCCTCGAATGCATGACACATCGGACTCTGGAACAGATGCTGGGGGGATTGGTCTTACAGTGTGTTAAAAAAAATTAAATCCATATATATATATATATGTATATATTTAATTCTGAGGCAGAGGAGACACGGACAGAGAGAGCAGCCATCTGCTGCCTCGCTCCTAAATGATTACAGCAGCCAGGGCTGCGCCAGGCTGAAACCAGGAGCCAGGAGCCTCTTCTGGGTCTCCCACGGGGGTGCAGGGTCCCAAGGTTTTGGGCCGTCCCCCACTGCTTTCCCAGGCCACAGGCAGGGAGCTGGATGAGAAGTGGAGCAGCTGGGGCTTGAGCTGTTGCCCCTATGGGATGCCGGGACTTGCAGGCAGAGGATTAGCCAAATGAGCCTCCAAGTTTTAGATTTTTAAAACAATATATGAGGGCCCAGCGCCGTGGCCTAGTGGAGAAAGTCCTTGCCTTGAAAAGCGCTGGGATCCAGTAAGGGCGCTGGGGGGACGTGTCTGCTTTTGACCTGTGCCCACCCCTTGGCAGGCCTCCTCTGCCACCTGGATGACGCCTGCGTCAGCAATCCATGCCATGAAGATGCCATTTGTGACACCAACCCCGTGAACGGCCGGGCCATTTGCACCTGTCCCCCGGGCTTCACGGGTGGCGCGTGCGATCAGGACGTGGACGAGTGTTCCATCGGTGAGGGGGACGGGGACAGCAGTCCCGGGGGAACAGCGGGAGAGGCAGAGCCTCAGCTGGCCCTGCCCACCCATCCCCTCCCTCCTCTCCGCCCCAGGAGCCAACCCGTGCGAGCACCTGGGCCGCTGCGTCAACACCCAGGGCTCCTTCCTGTGCCAGTGCGGCCGCGGCTACACGGGCCCGCGCTGTGAGACCGATGTCAACGAGTGTCTCTCCGGCCCGTGTCGCAACCAGGCTACGTGCCTGGACCGAATCGGCCAGTTCACGTGCATCTGCATGGCAGGTGCGTAGCGGGGCGAGGCACGCTGAACCTCGGATGATGGACGCCTCCCTTTTGGTGGGAGTCAAGGTGGACCCTTGCAGAACTGGCCGGCAGGTCCTTTGGAAAGCGGGACAGGGGTTGGAAAGCGAGCTGCCCGCCAAAGTATCTCGGATGGGCGGTGTGCCACCTGCTGGAGGAGGGGCTTGGGAGTCAGGCAGGGGCGCATCTCTCACCACCCTTTCTCAGGTTTCACGGGGATCTACTGCGAGGTGGACATTGATGAGTGCCAAAGCAGCCCGTGCGTCAACGGCGGCATCTGCCGGGACCGCGTCAACGGTTTCAGCTGCATCTGTCCCTCGGGTGAGGACCTGAGCTGTAAGGGACGGCCCTTAGCAGGTAGCTCCTCCCAGAAGCCACACGTCCCGGAAAAGAACTTAGAGCCAGACAGGAATGGTTGCGATGCTGTCTGAATCGCACAGTGCCCCCTCTCCTTACCATCGCCACCCCACTTCACTTCCCACCCTCCCAATCGCCCCCCCGCTCCAGGCTTCAGCGGGGCCACCTGTCAGCTTGATGTGGACGAATGTGCCAGCACGCCATGCCGCAATGGCGCCAAGTGCGTCGATCAGCCAGATGGCTATGAGTGTCACTGTGCCGAGGGTGAGTGCCAGCATGGGGGGGGGTGGTGCCAACCGCAACCCTTGGAGCTGCCGGGAGCGGGACCACTGTTGGGAGGTGACATGGAGAGAGACTCGGAGAGCTCGCCACGGGCTGCGGGTGGACCCTCGAGGGTGGGTGGAGTCTGACCAGGCTCACGGGTCCACCCACCCACCCACCCACCCCGCTCCAGGCTTCGAGGGTACCCTGTGTGAACGCAACGTGGACGATTGCTCTCCGGACCCGTGCCACCATGGGCGCTGTGTGGATGGCATTGCCAGCTTCTCCTGCGCTTGCGCTCCGGGTTACACCGGCACACGCTGCGAGAGCCAGGTGGACGAATGCCGTAGTCAGCCGTGCCGCCACGGGGGCAAATGCCTCGATCTGGTGGACAAGTACCTCTGCCGCTGTCCTCCTGGTACCACTGGTGAGGCCGCGGGGCTGGGCCGGAGCTGTGCACCTGCTAGGGGCGTCGGGAACCACGGGACCTCAACTGAGATCTGGGGACCCTTGCTTCTTGCCCGCCCCCCAATTCTCCTTGTCCCCTTAGGTGTGAACTGCGAGGTCAACATAGATGACTGTGCCAGTAATCCTTGCTCCTTCGGGGTCTGTCGCGATGGCCTCAACCGCTATGACTGTGTCTGCCAACCTGGCTTCACAGGTGGGTGCTGGGAAGGGAGTCCTTGGAGGGCCAGGGGGCCAGGGATGGGTCTCTGTCCTGGTTCACGCTGTGTCCTTTCTCATCCACACGAGACTCTTCCTGCCCCCTGACTACTCTGCGTGCCAGGTGGTACCCAGATACAGGATGTCTCCGTTTCCCCCCACCCCCACCCCCGCCCCCTGTGATTCCCCAGGACCCCTTTGCAACGTGGAGATCAATGAATGCGCGTCCAGCCCTTGCGGCGAGGGAGGCTCCTGCGTGGACGCGGAAAATGGCTTCCGCTGCCTCTGCCCGCCTGGCTCCCTGCCGCCGCTCTGCCTCCCCCTGAGCCACCCCTGTGCCCACGAGCCTTGCGGGCATGGTGTGTGCCACGATGCGCCCAGCGGGTGAGGCCCCTCCTGGACCCCTGAACCATGGCACCTGCACCCTCAGCCTCTTATTCACCTGCTAACCACTTTCTCTTCCCCTGCCCACCTGCTGGCCACTCCCCCTTCTATGCCCACCTGCTGGCCACTCCCCCTTCTATGTCTACCTGCTGGCCACTCCCCCTTCTGTGCCCACCTGCTGGCCACTCCCCCTTCTGTGTCCACCTGCTGGCCACTCCTCCTTCTATGTCCACCTGCTGGCCACTCCCCCTTCTATGCCCACCTGCTGGCCACTCCCCCTTCTGTGCCCACCTGCTGGCCACTCCCCCTCTCCTACCCACCTGCTGGCCACTCCCCCTTCTGTGTCCACCTGCTGGCCACTCCCCCTTCTGTGCCCACCTGCTGGCCACTCCCCCTCTCCTACCCACTTGCTGACCCTTCCCGCAGGTTCCGCTGTGTGTGTGAGCCTGGCTGGAGCGGCCCCCGCTGCAGTCAGAGCCTGACCAGGGACATCTGTGAATCCCAGCCCTGCCGGGCCGGAGGCACCTGCACCAGCGACGGGACAGGCTTTCACTGCGCCTGTCCCCCAGGAGTCCAGGGTATGAGTCTCCTTCCTGTCCCTTCCAGGCACCCATGTCCCCCTCTTCCCATTCTCCTTTGTTCCTCTGGGGCCCTCTGGCTGGTGGTGGGCTGCATGGGGGCGATGGAACAGAGAACCCTTCGAGACCACCCGTCTCTTTCCACCTGTCTCCCCACACAGGACGTCAGTGTGAGCTGCCGTCCCCCTGCACCCCGAACCCCTGCGAACACGGGGGCCGCTGCGAATCAGCTGGACACATGCCGCTTTGCTCTTGTGCCCCCGGCTGGCAAGGTACATCCTGGCTTGTTTCTCCTCCTCGTCCTTGCACTGTAGCGTCCCAGCTCGCGAGGAAAGGGGGTTGGCAGCTGGAGAAGCAGAAGGGACCTGGGGCTAGAACTTTTGACCTGCCAACCTCGGGTGTTACCTTGCTGTCCGCTCTAGGTCCTCGGTGCCAGCAGGATGTGGATGAGTGTGCTGCTGGTCCCTCGCCTTGTGGCCCCCATGGCACCTGTACCAACCTGGCGGGGAGCTTCAGCTGCACTTGTCGCAGGGGGTACACCGGCCCTTCCTGTGACCAGGACATCAATGACTGTGACCCCAGTGAGTGTGGAAGGCGCACTTACACTGCTTCCTGGGCATAGAAAACCCACCCACCTTGGCACTGTTTTGGATTTTATTTGAAAGGCAGAGAGAAAATTTTTCACTTGCTGGTTCACTCCCCGAATAGCATGAACCAGGAATGTAACCGGCCTCCTGCGAGGGTGACAGGGGCCCGAGCATCTGGGCCATTTTCCATTGTTCTCCCGGGACACTGGTGGGGAACTGGATCAGAAGTGGAGCAGCCGGGGCTTGAACTGGCCCCTGTATGGTACACCGGCAGTAGCTTAACCCACTGTGCCACCCCACTGACTCTCTGCTCCTGGGCCTCATAAGGAGGCGTTCTGGGTCTCCCAGGAGTCTCCCCCTTCCACCTAATGGAGAATTTGCTTTCCTCCACACATCAGCCTGTGCCCCTCTCCCCGTCGGAACTGCAATTGCCACTGACATGGGTGGGGCAGGCTGGGCTTGTAGGGGGGGGTGGTCACCATGGCCAGAGACCTCCACCTCACCTGCCTGTCCTGGCCATCCCCCCCACACCCCCCCCTTCTCTCATGGCAGACCCCTGTCTGAATGGTGGCTCCTGCCTGGATGGTCCTGGCTCATTTTCTTGCTCCTGTTTGCCGGGCTTCTCTGGCCCCCGCTGTGCCCGTGACGTAGATGAGTGTCTGAGTAATCCTTGTGGGCCAGGTACCTGTACTGATTACGTAGCATCCTTTACCTGCACCTGCCCGCCGGGCTATGGAGGCCTGCACTGCGAGGAGGACCTGCCCAACTGTAGCCCCAGGTGGGCATGGGGGTGCCCCCTGGAGCTTCTCGGATCCTGGGAAGGCCGATGGTGGGCGGAGCCTGTGCCGGGGGCGGGGTGGGGCTTCACCTACCTGCCTTTGGCTCCTAGCTCTTGCTTCAACGGTGGCACCTGCGTGGATGGTGTTAACTCCTTCAGCTGCCTGTGCCAGCCAGGCTACACGGGTGCCCACTGCCAGCATGAAGCCGATCCCTGCCTCTCGAGGCCCTGCCTACACGGGGGCGTTTGCAGCGCCACCCACCCAGGCTTCCGTTGTACCTGCCAGGAGGGCTTCACCGGTACCCAGTGCCAGGTGGGTATGGCTGGGGTCCTGGGGAGTGGGTGGGTGGGTGGATCCTTCTGGAGGGTGTGGCCTGGCGGTTTCCAGGCTCCCCTCGCCGCCCCCCACCCGCCCCGCTCCTGTGCGCCCCCCTCCATCCTCTAGCACTGCCATTGAAGGTTTTGTTCCTTCCTCGCTTCTCAGACCCTGGTGGATTGGTGCAGCCGCGGGCTGTGCCAGAACGGGGGTCGCTGCGTCCAGACAGGGGCGTACTGCCTCTGCCCGCCTGGATGGAGTGGCCGCTTCTGTGACATCCGGAGTCTGCCCTGCAAAGAGGCTGCGGCTCAGATGGGTGAGGCCAGCGTGGGGTGGCAGAGGCAGGGAGTGGGGGCTGCCAGGGTCACTAGGAAGCATCAGCACCCCCTGGGGGGGTGGCGTGAGTGACCACCGGGACCAGCAGGGATGCCGGGTGCTGTGTGACCCCCCGCCACTCTCCTTTTCCCAGGGGTGCAGGTAGAGCATCTGTGCCAAGCAGGTGGGCAGTGCGTGAGTGAAGACAACTCGCATTTTTGCCTGTGTCCCGAGGGCCGCACAGGCAGTCACTGCGAACAGGAGGTGGACCCCTGCGTGGCCCAGCCCTGTCAGCACGGGGCCACGTGCCGTGGCTACATGGGGGGCTATGTGTGCGAGGTAAGGGCGGGGGGTGGGGTCAGGAGAAGCCAGGCTAACCCCGGGGGCAGGGGGCGGACTGTGGACCAGGAAGCGGGGTGGGTCTTGTGTATTCGTGGCTCTGGTCTGCGCGTGGGGGGTCTCTGGGAGGACGGATGGTGGGCACGGAGGGTATTTGCATGCATGTCTCTGTGTGTGAGTTTGCTGCACCTGCCGGCCGGGTGTGACTTTGGTTTTCTCTAGGAATTCCTGGAATGTCTGTCTCTCGGAGTTCAATGTCTCTCTGCTTTCTCTCTGTCTCTTGCCCCCCCCCCCCCACCGTAGTGTCCCGCTGGCTACACAGGCCACAGCTGCGAACAGAATGTGGACGAATGTGACTCCCAGCCCTGCCAGCACGGGGGTTCCTGCATTGATCTGGTGGGCGGCTACCTCTGCTCTTGTCCCCCGGGCACTCAGGGTAAGCTTCCCCAGGGTGCAGTGGGGCTGGGCTGGGCTGGGCTGGGCTGGGCTGGGGGGAGAGGTGGGTCCACCGACCGGAGATGGAGGACCCCCTTCCCTCAGCCTTCCCTCCTTCTTCCGTCCTCTAGGGGTGCTCTGTGAGATTGATGATGATGACTGTGGCCCGCCCTTGGCCTCTGCGCCACCTCGCTGCCTGCACAACGGCTCCTGTGTGGACCTGGTGGGCGGTTTCCGCTGCACCTGTCCCCCGGGGTACACGGGTGTGCGGTGCGAGGCTGATGTGAATGAATGCCGTCCCGGGGCCTGCCACACGGCGCACACACGCGACTGCCTGCAGGAGCCTGGTGGTCGTTTCCGCTGCCTCTGCCACCCTGGTTTCACAGGTAAGCGCATCATGGTGGGGAGGCAGCGGGATGTGGGGAGGCAGTGTGCTGGCCCGTCCCTAATGCCCTGTGTTTTCCCAGGTTCGCGCTGTCAGACGGCCCTGTCTCCCTGTGCGTCCCAGCCCTGCCAGCATGGGGGCCAGTGCAGGCCCAGCCCTGGGGGAGGGTTGCCCTTCACCTGCCACTGCCCTCAGGTAGGTGGGAGCGACCCCAAGATGTAGCTTGGGGAGGAGGGAGACTGGGGTTGCGGGGTGGGGAGGTGGCGCTGCTTACTTGTAAGGTGGCGCAGGTGGAGGCTGGGGGAGGAGGGGACAGCCTCAGGCGGGTCTAGTGACACTCCAAGACCACCCCCACTCCTCTCTTTCCTCCCAGCCCTTTTGGGGTCCCCATTGTGAGCGGATAGCGAGCTCCTGCCGGGAACTGCAGTGCCCAGCTGGGGTTCCCTGTCAGCAAACGGCCCGGGGTCCTCGCTGCGCCTGCCCCCCGGGTCTCTCAGCACCTTCCTGCCGCGGTACCCGGTGGTCACCTCCGGGCATCGCCAACGCCAGCTGCATGGCCGGCCCATGTCTGCACGGAGGCACCTGCCACCCTGCTGCCCTCGCGCCCTTTTTCCGCTGCACGTGCGCACCGGGCTGGGCTGGTCCGCGTTGCGAGACGCCCCAGAAAGCAGCGTCAGAGGAAGAGAAGGAGGAGGAGGAGGAGCAGGAGGAGCAGCTGGAGGAGCCGAGGTGTCCTCGTGCAGCCTGCCGGGCCAAGCGCGGTGACCACCGCTGTGACCGCGAATGCAACAGTCCGGGCTGCGGCTGGGACGGCGGGGACTGCTCGCTGAGCGTCGGCGACCCTTGGAGGCAATGCGAGGCTCTGCAATGCTGGCGCCTTTTCAACAACAGTCGCTGCGACCCGGCCTGCAGCTCCCCAGCCTGCCTTTATGACAACTTCGACTGCCACTCCGGTGGCCGGGAGCGCACCTGCAAGTGAGCCTGCCCTCCCATCCCGCACGCGTTCCCCTGGCCCTGTCCACCGCGTGACCTGTCCAGCTCAGCCTGTCCCTGCGGCCTGCCCTCTGTACCCCTGCTGCTGTCACCCAATGGGCTCCAGCCTCTCTCTGCCCGACCCTCGCACACCGCAGGGCTTCTGTACCAGGCCACAAGGAAGGAGGTGGGTGGGAAGTGGAGCAGCTGGGACTCGAACAAGCACCCCAAAGGGATGCTGGGAACAAGGCGAGGATTTTATGCAGTTGCCACAATACTGGCCGGATTTCAAAATTTGGGGGGGCATCCAAGGGAATGTATCATTATAAACTTTTCAATAACTTACTTGAAAGGCATTGAGACGCAGAGAGAAAGAGAGGTGCCAATCTCAGGGTTGCTGCTCAAATGCCCAGGCTGTGCCATGCCACAGCCAGAAGCTTCCAAGTCTCCCACGAGGGTGGCAGAGCCCCAGCACCTGCTGCCTTCCGGGGTGTTGGAGCGGAGAGGGGAGCCGGAGCGGATACCTGGACATGCCGGCTGGGGGTGTGGCCATCCCAAGGGGCACCTTACCCATGACGGCTGAGTCTTGAAGTCCACTGCCCACCAGCTTCCAGAGGCAAGGCCTCGTGGCTTGGCGCACCTCTACAGTAGTGTCAGTCCACAGCAAGTTGGCAGGCTGCCCAGAGTTACCCAATTATCAGCCTGATCTTTGCTCCTCAGAAACCCAAAACCTATATTCACAATAGCCCTCCTAGGGGAAGATTCCACACCCTTGGCGGTTTCAGGGGACTTGTAAGCTCCTCCCCGTCCATAGCAGCAGGTGCACAAACCCAGACCGCATACAATGACCTTCAGCCTAGACACATGTAGGCAGGTGCGTAGGAAATGCGTGGAGAACTCGCGTGGGCGGCATCTTGCTACCTTTCTAGTCCATTTGTAATTGCACCATCTTGGGTGGGTAAGGGGCGCTGGACCTGGAGCGAACCGGCGAATGATCTGCAGGTCCTAGCCAATCCAGGTAGCCTCGCGCATGCGAACTCGGTCCCCGGCGCCCTGACCGCGCCCTCTCTGTCCCTCCCCTTCCCAGCCCGGTGTATGAGAAGTACTGCGCCGACCACTTCGCCGATGGCCGCTGCGACCAGGGCTGCAACACGGAGGAGTGTGGCTGGGACGGGCTGGACTGCGCACGGGAGGTGCCTGCGCTGCTGGCCCGGGGCGTGCTGGTGCTCACCGTGCTGTTACCCCCCGAGGAGCTGCTGCGCTCGGGCGCAGACTTCTTGCAGCGGCTCAGCGCCATCCTGCGCACGTCGCTGCGCTTCCGCCTGGACGCCCATGGACAGGCCATGGTCTTCCCTTACCACCGACCCACGGGTGGCGCCGCTGCCGAATCCCGGGCGCGGCGTGAGCTGGCGCCCGAGGTGATCGGGTGAGTTCCTGCTGTGCATGGACCCTGGCTTTCTTGGGGCCTTGGCAACACGTCCCTGGCCACGCGTTTTAGAAGCCAGAGGTACCGCAGTGCCCCCATCCTTGTGAAGAGATCTCCAGATGAGACCCTGGTGGGTAGCTCTGCAGAATGGTAACCGGCTGCGGGCTGTTTTCTTTTAAAATTTTTATTGCAAAGATTTACAGAAAGATCTTCCATCCATTGATTCACTCCCCAAGTGGCTGCAATGGCCAGAGCCGAGCCAATACGAAGCCAGAAGCCAGGAGCTTTTCCAGGTCTCCCACGCAGGTGCAGGGTCCCAAGGCTTTGGGCTGTCCTCCACTGCTTTCCCAGGCCACAGGCAGGGAGCTGGATGGGAAGCGGAGTGGCTGGCACACGACCCGGTGCCCATATGGGATCCTGGTCCTTGCAAGGCGAGGACTTTAGCCACTAGGCTATCACACTGGGTCCTGTTTTATTTCTTTAAAAATGTATTTATGAATATGAAAGGCAGAGTTAAAGGACAGATCTTTTATCCACTGATTTACGCCCCCCCCCCCCCCCCAGTGACTGCCAGCAGCTAAAGCTGAATCAGGTGGAAGCCAGGAGCGGAAGCCAGGAGCTTCTGGGTCTCCCGTGTGGGGTACAGGAGCCCTGCTGCTTTCCCAGGCTGGTTAGCAAAGTGCTGGATTGGAAGCGGAGCCGCCAGGATTGGTACATTCATGTGTGTAGGAGCTGGCCCAGGAACAGAGCAACTGGGCCTCCCGTCGGGGCCATGGGTGTTCCAGATGCTGGCTTCATTCACTGCACCACACAGCAGGCCCTTCTGTGTGAGGGTTGACACGGAGGGCCACCTGCCCCGAGCACACACACCAAAGGGGTGTGGCTGATGGCGAAGGGACTGTCAGACTGAATCTGGGTGCACTGGGTCCTAAGCATGGGCTGGAGGACATGTGGCTGAGCAGCTGGAAGGGACCAGGGGGTGGCATCTCGGTGCACGGGACAAGTGAGGGTCTCAGATTGGGTTCCTGGAAGTGGAACTTGAATTCTGGGATCGGGTGATGCCCTGGAGGAGGGAGGGCCCGGCATGGGGAGGGAATGGGTCTCGGCTGGCGTCCCTGGCTGAGGGGGATCCCTTGCTGACCACACAGGCGCTCTTGTGCGGTAGCAGGCGGGCCTCGAGCCTTGGGGTCCGGGGGACGGAGGGCGCATGGCCAGGCCTCCCTCCAGCCCTCCTGTGCTCTCTCTCACTCAGCTCGGTCGTAATGTTGGAGATTGATAACCGGCTGTGCCTGCAGTCGCCCGAGAATGACCACTGCTTTCCCGATGCGCAAAGCGCAGCTGACTACCTGGGGGCCTTGTCCGCCGTGGAGCGCCTGGACTTCCCTTACCCGTTGCGGGATGTGCGGGGTGCGTCCCTGCGGGGCGGATGGGGGCGGTGAGGACGCAGCTGGGCCTTGGCAGTCTCCCCCCAAGCATCGCAGAGGGGCCGTGCGATGGAGACTCGGCTTCCCTAGACAGCACTGCTGGGCGCAAACCCTTGCACAGGGCTGCAAACCACACGGAGGCCCCGCCCCGTGACTGAAGCCCGGTCCCACCCTCCTCCTCCTCCTCCTCCTGCAGGGGAACCACTGGACCCTCCGGAGCCCAGCTGGCCGCTGCTGCCTCTGCTGGCTGCAGGCGCCGTCTTCCTGCTGCTTATCCTCGTCCTGGGCGTCATGGTGGCCCGGCGCAAACGGGAACACAGCACCCTCTGGTTCCCCGAGGGCTTCGCCCTGCACAAGGACGTGGCCAGCGGGCACAAGGGCCGGCGGGAGCCCGTGGGCCAGGACGCGTTGGGCATGAAGTGAGAACCCTGTCTTCCTTTGTTCCTGGCCCCCATCGTCACTGACCTTGGCCTCTAACCCTAAGCTCACACTGCGCCCCAGATCCCCGGTGACGCGCAATGCCAGCCTCCGACTGGGCCTGTCCCTCCAGAGCCCGACCATATGCCCAGTTAAAACCTGCCTCGGTGACCTGGCCACAGCCTGTACCCCTGAGCTCATTATGCAACTCTCACCCACTCCTGGAGACCCCGGCTGTGTCCCAGTGTCGCCCCGACTTCACCGTGCCCATGGCTGTCACAGAGCACACACACACACACACACACACACACACACACACACACACACACACACACGTGACCCTCATCCCCTTGTCTCAAGACCTACGACCTCAAGCCCAGAGCCCTGCCCTTGCTGCTCTGTCCTCCCAGGCTGGACACTGCCTGGGTCCCCTTTTTCACACCCCGATCTTCCACACAGGAACATGGCCAAGGGTGAGGGGCTGATGAGCCAGGTGACCACAGACTGGCTGGACTCGGAGTGCCCGGAGGCCAAGCGACTGAAGGTGCTGCCCCTTGCCCTCTGCCCTCAGGGTTCTGGGTGCGACCCTGGCAGGTGACAGGGTCTAAGGAGAGACCTCGATCCCCCCAACCTTTTGGTTGCAGGGGTTCAACTGAAGGGGTGTCTCTACCCACTTCCCTGACCCCAGTCACCTCTTTTTTTTGTTGGTGCAGGGAGAGATCTGCCCCCTGGGTCCATGCCTCCTCTCCTGCTGCGAGGCCAGCTGGGGAGGTCTGCTCAGAGGGGAAAAAAATCTGGCTGGCCCTGGCTCTATTTTCTTTCTATTGGTTTTCCCTGTGTGAAGGGAGGGAGGGAGAGAGAGAAAGATCTCCCATCCACTGGTTCACTCTCCAAGTGGCTGCAACGGCTGGGAGCTAAGCTGATCTGAAGCCAGGAACCAGGAGCTTCTTCCAGGTCTCCCATGCGGGTGCAGGGTCCCAAGGCTTTGGACCATCCTCCACTGCTTTCCCAGGCCACGAGCAGGGAGCTGGATGGGAAAGTGGAGCCGCTGTGTTTTTGAACTGGTACCCATACGGGATGCCAGCCCTTGCGAGTGGCATCTTAAGCGGTTTTACCACTCTGCCAAACCCTGGTCTACTCCTTGCCAATGGGCTAAAGCTGGGAGCTTGGAACTGCATGCGGGTGTCCCAGGAACAGTAACAACCTGTCACTGTCCTTCCTGGGACCCACCCACCCCTTTTCCAGATTAACAGTGACACCCCCACCCCACCAGGAGCCTACCTCCCTCTCCCTGTGGGTTTCCACAAGACACATCTTAGGTCATCAGGCTGTAGCGTTTCGAGCTTGTTGTGTTCGGCTCGACACAGTTGGTTCTTCCTGGTGCTGTGGTCACCTGAATGGATGCCCTCTTGGCATCACTGGGCAGTATCTTCCACGTGACGGACCAGCTTCCATGGCTGCGGCTGCTCCATCTCTCTAAGTCATCCACTTTGGGGGGGTCCGGGCTACGCCCGTCATCCGAGCAGTATCTCTCCCCAAGCACTGCATCACCCCCATAGCCCAACTCCTTATCCACAAAAGCTGCAGGAGATAAATGAGTTATGTGTGCATCTGTATGAATCAGCACCATGATGCAGCAGCTTAAACATCTGCCTGCGGTGCAGGCATTCCGTGTGAGCGCTGGTTTGAACCTGGCTGTTCCATTTCCCATCCAGCTCGCTGCTCAAGTGCCTGGGAGAACAGCAGGGGAGAACCCTCAGTATTGGAGCCCCTGCACCTGCAGGGGAGACCCCCTAATAAGTTTCTGAGTCCTGACTGTGGATGGGGGAAGCTCTGGCTGGGCTGAGAACCCTGGGTTCCTGTTCCCTGCCCCCGGACTGTGCAGGTGGAGGAACCAGGCATGGAGGCGGAAGAGGCTGTGGATTGCCGTCAGTGGACCCAGCACCACCTGGTTGCTGCTGACATCCGGGTGGCGCCGGCCATGGCACTGACACCCCCACAGGGCGACGCGGATGCTGATGGGATGGACGTGAATGTGCGTGGTCCAGGTGAGTCACGCTGCTCCTCTCGGAACCCGTGCAGGGTTCCCTGCGTTCTGATTGGACAGCGAGCGTGGCGAAGCCATCTTTGAGCCAATCAGGGTGGCCGGAGATTGGGCTGGATCAATCCTTTCAGATTTTTTTTTTTTTTCTCGCTCTGTTTTCTATTTTCTGCCTCAAAGAGTTATCTACTTAAGAGAGGAAGGTGAGGCTGGTTCACCCCCCCCCCCAAATGGCTACAGAAGCTAGGGCTGGGTCAGGGTGCAGCCGGGAACCTGGAATTGCATCCAGGTCTCCCATGTGGGCAGTGCGCCCCAGCAGTGTCACCAGCAGGGAGCTGGCTGGGGAGTGGAGCAGCTGGCACTCAAGCTGGTACCCCATAGGATGCGGGTGGATTCAGACATCGCTGTCAGTCCCTGAAGCTGTCTCGATGCTGACCCCTTGTATAGTGGGTTTTTTTGTTTCTAGTGTTTTCTGGAACGTTTCTCCCTGCTCCCCCCACCGAGTCCCTGTCCCCCACACTCTATCCCTGCAGACGGCTTCACTCCGCTCATGCTGGCCTCCTTCTGCGGGGGGACCCTGGAGCCAGCGCCCACCGAGGAGGACGAGGCTGAAGACACATCGGCCAACATCATCTCCGACCTGATCTGCCAGGGGGCCCAGCTCGGGGCACGGACCGACCGCACAGGCGAGACCGCCCTGCACCTGGCTGCCCGCTACGCCCGGGCCGACGCGGCCAAGCGGCTGCTGGATGCTGGAGCTGACACCAACGCCCAGGACCACTCAGGCCGCACGCCCCTGCACACGGCTGTCACTGCTGATGCCCAGGGCGTCTTCCAGGTGGGCTGGGCGTGCCAACTCCCCAGGGAATGCCAACAACTGAGGGCTGGGGTGGGCCTCAGGTGTTGCAGTCAGGAAAATGAGAGTGTGCAGGAGTTTGGAAAACACACACAGTCCCTAAGTGAGGGCTTTCCCACTGCATCCAGGACTCCATGACCAAGCCTGTGATATCTTGGGATGACTTTTTTTTTTTTTAAGTTTCACTTATTTTTATCGGAAAGTCAGATATGCAGAGAGAAGCAGAGACAGAGAGGAAGATCTTCCATTTGCTGGTTCACTTTCCAAGTGGCTGCAATGGCCAGAGCTGTGCCGATCTGAAGCCGGGAGCCAGGAGCTTCTTCCAGGTCTCCCATGCGGGTACAGGGGCCCAAGGCCTTGGGGTTACCCTCTACTGTCTTCCCAGAAACGGTAGCGGGGAGCTGGATGGGAACTGGACCAGCACCCACATGGGATGCCGGCGGCACAGCCTATGTCCGCCTCCGTCCCTGTGTGTTTCTTTTAGGATGTCTTTGATTTGCCAAGGGTGTGCTGGGCTGTGCCTCCATCCCCAAGCAAGCAGCAAACACCAAAACGCCCCTGCTTCCTGCATGACTGCCCCCCCCGCTCCCGGCCACTCTCCAATGGACACCCCCCACCCCCCATGTCTCCATTTCTCTTAGATTCTCATCCGGAACCGCTCCACAGACCTGGATGCCCGCATGGCGGATGGCTCCACGGCGCTGATCCTGGCCGCCCGCCTGGCGGTGGAGGGCATGGTGGAAGAACTCATCGCCAGCCACGCGGATGTCAACGCCGTGGATGAGCTCGGTGGGTGTGGAAGGGGTGCGTGGGGGCCCTGAGTGTGCCAGCTTTGACCCCAGTCCCGGAAGCCCCATGCATGCCTCACTGGCATCCTTCCCAGCTGCCCTGCGGTGCCAGCGGTCAGCACACAGCGTGACTTAGGGGACCAGAACTTCCCTGGTCACGCCCACGCACTTGGTTGGAGAGCTCGCTCTGCTGCCACCTGCTGGACGCCTGTCGTCCACGTGCAAGTTCCTGGAAGTAAAAGTTTGTTTCTGGTGCAGCTCAACCCCCCCGCAACCATGTGCATTAAAAAAAAAAAAAAGATTTATTTATTATTTTTATTGGAAATGCAGATCTGCACAGAAGGAGAGACAGAAAGATCTTCCGTCCGCTGATTCAGTTCCCCAAGTGGCCACAGTGGCCAGAGCTGGGCTGATCTGAAGCCAGGAGCTGGGAGACTCCTCCAGGTGTCTCCCATGGGTGCAGGGTCCCAAGGCTTTGGGCCGTCCTCCATTGCTTTCCCAGGCCACAGGCAGGGAGCTGGTTGCTAAGTGGGGCTGGTGGAATTGGAACCAGCGCCCCTATGGGATCCCGGCGTGTGCAAGGCGAGGATTTTTATTTTTAAAAATGTGAAATAGATAGGAGATGGAGAGAGAGGGTTTCAAACTGCCAGTTTCACTCTCCAAAGCCTGCAACAGCTGGGACTGGGCTGGGCTGTGAAGAAAGGGGCCCGGAGCTTCGTGCAGATTTCCCATGAGGGTCTCAGGTTTAAACACTTGGACCGTCATGTGTTGCTGCCTTCCCAGGAGCAGGCACAGGGGGCAGGATGGGAAGTGGGGCAGGCACAGGGGGCAGGATGGGAAGTAGGGCAGGCACAGGGGGCAGGATGGGAAGTAGGGCAGGCACAGGGGGCAGGATGGGAAGTGGGGCAGGCACAGGGGGCAGGATGGGAAGTGGAGCAGGCACAGGGGGCAGGATGGGAAGTGGGGCAGGCACAGGGGGCAGGATGGGAAGTGGGGCAGGCACAGGGGGCAGGATGGGAAGTAGGGCAGGCACAGGGGGCAGGATGGGAAGTGGGGCAGGCACAGGGGGCAGGATGGGAAGTGGGGCAGGCACAGGGGGCAGGATGGGAAGTAGGGCAGGCACAGGGGGCAGGATGGGAAGTGGGGCAGGCACAGGGGGCAGGATGGGAAGTGGGGCAGGCACAGGGGGCTGGATGGGAAGTAGGGCAGGCACAGGGGGCAGGATGGGAAGTGGGGCAGGCACAGGGGGCTGGATGGGAAGTGGGGCAGGCAGGACCCCAACTTGCATGACTATATAGGATGTGCACCTTGCAAACTGCAGCCTCACCCACTGGGCCTCAACACGGGCTCCCGAGAAGGCGATCTGTGTTGCGTGGGTGGGCATGCCCACTCTTTTATGTAATTTCATTTGGTTGCTAATTCTGAAGGGTCACGTGGGATTGTTGCTTGCTACTGTGTTGGATGGGAGCGCCAAAGGCTGGCGTTCGGCTGCGGGAGGGCCACACCAGTGTCCCCCCCCCCCCCCGTGGACGGACAGAGGCATCACACACATCTAGGCACCCTCCCCGGAGCCTCAGGGCAGTGGCGTCCCCTCCTGCCCAGCCGCTCACATTGGTCTCCCCTATTATGCCATGGTGGCTGCTGCTGTGAGAGGGGCTGTGTGTAAGCCTGGTGCTGAACCCCACCCCTTCCTACCGCACCCCCCCAGGGAAGTCAGCCTTACATTGGGCCGCTGCTGTGAACAACGTGGAGGCCACCCTGGCCCTGCTCAAGAACGGAGCCAACAAAGATATGCAAGACAGCAAGGTGAGCTCTGAGCCTGACCCTGAGCCTGACCCTGACCCTGAGCCTGGCCCTGACCCTGAGCCTGACCCTGACCCTGGCCTTAGAGTTGAGTCTTAGAGCTGGGGGGGGGGCAGCAGCTGCGTGGCTTCTCTGAAGCCCACATTCCTCACTCGTATGGTGCAGAAGCAGCAGCACCCGTCGGGCCGGGTCTGGCTGGCTAAGGTGTTTGAGCGCTTAGGGGAGTCCTCAGTTGGGAACGCTGTGGAGGTTGTGGCTTTAAAAGCCCATACAAGCTAGAGCCATGGTCATCCCAGGGTACAGGTGGAAAGGTGGGACCCACAGCAGACCTTTAATAATATTTATTATAATATATAATACATGATCCATAATATATAATTATAGAATATAGAATAATATATCTCATATATCATCCACTATATCATATCCTAAATAGTATAAATATGATATATTATACATGATATTATATATTGCATTTATATTATAGTATATAGGATATAATATATGGCATGTAATATACATCACACATAATATATTAGTATATGGTATGATATGTGATATATAATGTTATATGTTTTGTTATACAATAAATAAAACAGCAAATAAAATAAGTATATATACTATATATTATATTATATTATATTATATTATATTATATTATATTATATTATATTATATTATATTATATTATATTATATTATATATATACACTATATAGGTGGGTTGGAAGTGGGACAGCAGGGACTGGAACCAGCACCCATATGGGATGCCAGAACTTTGAGACAGTGCTAAACCCTTAAATTAATATATATTATATATTATATATTATATATGTATATTTGAAAGAGACAGGCAAAGAGATCTTCCATCCACTTTCAGTCCTGAAATGTCCCCTATAGCCAGGACAGAGTCAGTCCAAAACCAGGAGCCAGGAGTTCCGTCTGAGTGGCCCCCGTGGGTGCAGGGACCCAAGCAACTGAGCCATCCCCTGCTACCTTCCACGGGTGGGAGCTGGTTGGGAAGTGGAGCGGCCTGGACTAGAACCGGTCTCCGTGTGGGATGTTATAGCTTGGCGTGCTAAATCCAGGGGTCTACCCACGGGCCCCAAACTTTAACATCTCCCTGTCGCCTCTGCCACTGGCGCCCAGGAGGAGACCCCGCTGTTCCTGGCAGCCCGCGAGGGCAGCTACGAGGCGGCCAAACTGCTGTTGGACCATTTCGCAAACCGTGAGATCACCGACCACCTGGACAGGCTGCCGAGGGACGTGGCGCAGGAGCGCTTGCATCAGGACATCGTGCGCCTGCTGGACCAGCCCAGTGGACCCCGCAGCCCCCCGGGTCCCCACGGCCTGGGGCCCCTGCTGTGCGCACCGGGCGCCTTCCTCCCGGGCCTCAAGGGCACCCAGACAGGGACCAAGAAGAGCAGGAGACCCCCGGGCAAGGCAGGGTTAGGGGCGCAAGCCGGTGGTGGCCGCGGGAGGGGCAAGAAGTTGACCTTGGCCTGCCCCGGGGGCGCCCTGGCCGAGAGTTCGGTCACGCTGTCACCCGTGGACTCGCTGGACTCCCCGAGGCCTTTTGGGGGGCCCCCCGCGTCTCCCGGGGCCTTCCCCTTGGATGCGCCCTACGCGGCGGCCACCGTGTCCCTGGCGCAGCTGGGTGGCCCAGGCCCTGGTTGCCCCTTGGGGCGTCAGCCCCCCACGGGCTGCGTGCTAAGTTTGGGGTTGCTGAACCCTGTGGCCGTGCCCCTCGACTGGGCCCGGCTGCCCCCACCCGCCCCGCCGGGCCCCTCTTTCTTGCTCCCGTTGGCACCCACTCCACAGCTGCTCCACCCGGGGACCCCAGTGTCCCCCCAGGAGCGGCCCCCGCCCTACCTGGCGGCCCCAGGGCCCACGGGAGAGGAGTTCGCGGCCACTGGGGCCCGTGGCAGCCCCGCCAAGGCCCGCTTCCTGAGTGTCCCCAACGAACACCCCTACCTGACCCCATCCCCGGAGTCCCCCGAGCACTGGGCCAGCCCGTCACCTCCTGCCCTCTCGGACTGGTCAGAATCCATGCCCAGCCCAGCCACTGCCGCGGCCACCGCTGCCACTGCCGCCGCCGCTGCCACCACCACTGCGGTGGGCACCCCTGGGGTGCTGCCTGCCCAGCCGCACCCCTTGTCCGTCCCGGGCAACCTGGCGCAGACCCAGACCCAGCTAGGGCCCCAGGCTGAGGTCACCCCCAAGAGGCAGGTGCTCGCCTGAGCTATTGGTCCCTTCTGGGAATCTTGGCGGAAGGCAGGAGGAGGGAAGCTGGGGGGGGACACCCCTTCTGACTCTGCTCTCTCTCCCCTCATTCCATTTTAGTCTTTTCCTTGGTCTCTCTCTATATCCGTCCCTTCGCACTCCATCCCCGGAGTCCCAGGGCTAGGGCCTCAGTCTTCCTTTATTTATAATGGGTGAGGTTGAGCATACACCCTCAGCCCAGTCGCGAACCTGGGTCCTCCTCCCACCACCCCGTCACCCCTCCCTCCCTCCCTGCCTCACACTCTGGCACGAGTGAATTATTATTATTTTTCTTTCTTTCTTTCTTTCTTTTTTTTTTTTTTACATTTTGTATAGAAACAAATTCATTTAAACAAACTTATTATAATTATTATTTTTTACAAAATATATATATGGAGATATTGCTTCCACTCCCCCTGTCCCAATCACCCCTTCCTCCGCCTCCCCCCCTCTCGCCCCGTCCAGTGCCCCCATGGGGCTGAGTCTGTGGGCCCTTTGTGGTCAAGCTGGACTCTGTATGGAGTACGCAAAGCATGACTGGGGTCCTGTGTACTGAGTACACCGACCCTGGTACGTACCAAGTAGGCACCTATGGGCGCACTCTCTGGGGGGGGTCAGACGGGAACCCCCTCTCTCCCTCCCCCTCACTTCAGTGCATTCCAGAGGCCCAAGCCTCCATCCCCCCCACCCCCCTACCCCCCGCCGGAGTCTGGGCTCCCTGGGGAAGCCGGGAGGTCAGGGCAGAGCTGTGGACACCTGCGGCTTTTGGATCCCAGGCTGTCCGATGGATGGCACCACCTCCCCTTGGGAATTGGCCCAACTCACGGCTGAAGAGACGCATTTTTTTTTTTTGTAATCCAGCTTCTGGTTACACCTCGGTGTAGTTGAACTGCCGGCCTCTCACCACCTAATAAAGGCATAGTTAACACAGGGTGTCGCTGGTCCGTGTCTTGGTAAGCCGGAGCGTGCTGGTGGGGCAGCGCCAACCTGTGTCTTAGGCGTTTAACTCATTTCAGCTGCCTCTCAGGTTGTGTGTGTGTGTGTGTGTGTGTGTGTGTGAACTTTAGCCTATTATTATTATTTTAAGATGCATTTATTTTAATTGGAAAGGTCAGATTTACAGAGAGGAGGAGAGATCGAAAGATCTTTCATCCACTGGTTTACTCTCCAAGTGGTTGCAATGGCTGGAGCTGAGCTGATCTGAAGCCAGGAGCCAGGAGCTTCTTCTGCACCTCCCATGCAGGTACAGGGTCCCAAGGCTTTGGGCTGTCCTCCACTGCTCTCCCAGGCCACAGGCAGGGAGCTGGATGGGAAATGGAGCAGCCGGGATTAGAACCAGTGCCCATATGGGATTCCGGCACATGCAAGGCAAGGACTGCTTAGCCGCTACGCTACTGCGCCGGACCCCGGTGGTTTACTGTTTAGATGATTGCAGCATCCAGAGCTGAGCCAATCCGAAGCCAGGAACCAAAAGATTTATCCGGGTCTCCTGCACAGGTTCAGGGTCCAACACCCTTGAGTCCTTTTCTGCTGTCTTTCCAGGCGGCTGGATCAGCACTGGAGCAGCTGGGCGTAGAAGCAGTGCCCATATGGAATGCTGGCGCTGCAGGCGGAGGGTTAGTTGGCTATACCACAGCATGGCCCTGTTGGAAGAGCTTTTAAGGCCATAGGCAGGTTGAGGCAACGGACAGCCCATGAGCAGAGCATGGGCGCATCAGAGCTGAGGGCTAACGGTGGTTGCCAAAGGCGAGAGGTCAGTGCTGTGGATAATTCAGCCTTCATTCCGTTGATATCAACAAAAAGAAAAATATTTTTAGGGGAAAGGTATATTTATAGAGAGAGAAGGAGAGACAGAGAAAGATCTTCCGTCCTGTCATTCACTCCCCAAGTGGCCACAGAGCTGAGCCAATCCAAAGCCAGGAGCTGGGGGCTTCCTTTGGGTTTCCCACATGGGTGCAGGGTCCCAGGGCTTTGGTCCATCCTCGACTGCGTTCCAAGGCCACAGGCAGGAAAGTGGAGCAGCTGGGACACGAACTGGTGTCCATATGGGCTGCCGGCACTTGAGAGGGGAAGATCAGCCAATTGAGTCATTGCTCCAGAACCCAAAATAAATAAATGTTTAAAAAGAAAAGACGTCTTGGGCCCAGACGATGGTTACATCTTTGCGTGTACCAGCATTCCATATGGGCACCAATTCGAGTCCCGGCTGCTCTACTTCCCATCCAGCTCCCTGTTTGTGGCCTGGGAAAGCAGTGGAGGACAGCCCAAAGCCTTGGGACCCTGCCCCCATGTGGGAGACCTGGAAGAAGCTCCTGGCTCCTGGCTTCGGATCAGCACAGCTCCAGCTGTTGCGCTCACTTGGGGAGTGAAGCAGAGGACGGCAGATCTTCCTCTCTGTGTCTCCTTCTCTCTGCATATCTGACTTTCCAATAAAAATAAATCAATCTTTAGAAATCATTTATTTATTTATTTACTTACGGAGAGAGAGAGATGCTTCTTTGACCTATCTATGGGTTCTATTTTCAGTTGGAGCTACATCTGGTCCTGCCTGAGCCTTGGCAGGGAAGTGGCACCAGCATTGGGGGCAATAGAAAGCCAAGCCATCCCAGGGCAGGACATGCGTCTCCGGAAACACCACCCACAAATCCCGACGTGAGAGCAGTACCGCCCCCCTGTGGGCGGCAGGGGCGCAAGTGCCTGAGACTTCACTCTGCCCCCAGGATTGGGTGTGCATGAGCAGGGAGCTGGGGTCAGGAGCAGGGAGCTGGGGTCAGGAGAGGAGCTGGGGTCAGGAGAGGAGCTGGGTAAGGACCCTTGGCTCGGTGATGTGGGCATCTTCAACTCCAGGTTAAACTCCAACTCCTGGCAGGCCAACCTTCTGACTGCAGGGCCGGCATCCCATATGGACACCTGTTCCAGTCCCGGCAGCCACACTTCCCATCCAGCTCCCTGCCTGTGGCCTGGGAAAGCAGTGGAGGACGGCCCAAAGCCTCGGGACCCAGCATCCTTGTGGGAGACCTGGAAGAGGCTCCTGGCTCCCGGCTTCGGACCTGCCCAGCTTTGGCTGTTGTGGCCATTTGGGGAGTGAACCAACAGATGGGAGATCTCCCCTCCTCTCCCCTCCTCTCCTCTCCTCTCCTCTGCTCTCCTCTTCTTTCCTCTCCTTCTCTCTCTCTTTCTTTCAAATGAAAATAAATGAATCATTTCATAAAACAGAAAAACAGGGTCCAGAACAATAGCCTAATAGCTAAAATCCTCACCTTGCACATGCTGTGATCCCATATGGGCGCCGGTTCGAATCCTGGCTGCTCCACTTCCCATCCAGCTCCCTGCTTGTGGCCTGGGAAAGCAGCGGAGGAGGGCCCAAAGCCTTGAGACCCTGTACCTGCGTGTGGGAGACCAGGAAGAGGCTCCTGGCTTCAGATCAGCTCGGCTCCGGAGAGGAAGAGCCAGTAAGACGTGTGGCTTCAATCAGACGGCCTGCAGGTGCGCCCCAGAGTCCTGCGCAGCGCCACGCGCACCTCTTGGTTGCGCAGTGTGTACACCACGGGGTTGAGCAGAGGCGTGACCACCGTATAGAAGACGGCCACCAGGCGGTCGCGATCCGGGTGGCCGCCGGACTCGGGGCGCAGGTAGATGATGGAGGCACAGCCAAAATGCACCACGACCACGGTGAGGTGGGCTGCGCAGGTGGAGAAGGCTTTGCGGCGGCCAGCCGCCGAGGGCATGCGCACCACGGTGGCCACGATGAAGGCGTAAGACAGGAGGATGAGCAGAAAGGAGACCAGCACCACCAGGACGCTGAGGAAGAAGATGCCCAGGGCTGCGCGCCCGCTCTGGGCGCAGCTGAGCCGCAGCACGGGCGCGATGTCACAGAAGAAGTGTTCCACGCGGGGCCCGTGGCAGAAGGGCGAGGCGAAGATCACGCAGGTCTCGATCAGGGCCACGGAGAAACCCGAGCCGAAAACGAGGGCCCCCAGGCGGAGGCAGACCGCGGGTCTCATGATGACCGAATAGCGCAGCGGGTGGCAGATGGCCACATAGCGGTCATAGCCCATGAGGGTGAGGAGGAAGCAGTGGCTGCAGCCCAGGCCCAGGAAGAAGAACATCTGAGCCCGACAGCCCGCGATGGAGATGGCCTGGCTGCGCAGTAACAGGTGCGCCAGCATGTTGGGGATGGTGACGAGGGTATAGCAGGTCTCGGAGAGGGACAGCACGGCCAGGAAACGGTACATGGGTGTGTGCAGGCCTCGGTCCAGGTGGATGATGGTGATGATGGTGGCGTTGCCGCCCAGGGTCACCAAGTAGGTGAGCAGGAAGAGCGGGAAGAGCAGCGGCCTCAGATGCGGTAGGTTGGAGAATCCCACCAGCAGGAATTCGGTCACCAGCCGCGTCCTGTTCTCCCGCTGCTCCTCAGGAACCTGCAGAGAGAAGAGGGAAGAGAAGGGACGGGCTCTGTGTGTGTCCTGGGGGGCTTCGTCTCCAGGCACCAGACTGGGAGAGGGCCAGGAACGTCGTGTGGCTGGATGCAGCTCCCAGCTCTTGGCTACCACCTGCTACGTGGTCCAGTCGCCACTGAGCTGATCTGAAACCAGGAGCCAGGAGCTTCTTCTGGGTCTCCCTCATGGGTGCAGGGTCCCAAGGCTTTGGGCCGTCCTCCACTGCTTTCCCAGGCCACAGGGAGGGAGCTGGATGGGAAGTGGAGCAGCCAGGATATGAAGTGGTACCCATACGAGATCCTGGCGTGTGCAAGGCGAAGATTTAGCCACTGAGCCATCGTGCCAGTTCCATAGGTGGGATGTTTTGCAGAAGCGAAATGGGGGCCCGGTGCGACAGCGTAGCAGTCAAAGTCCTCACCTTGAATGCGCCAGAAGCCCGTATGGGGGGCCGGTTCTATTCCCGGCAGCTCCGTGAAATCGGCGTAGAGAGAAAAGAAACAAAACTCTACAATATTACGATCATAATGCACCACGCAAGACAGCTGTCCCCTTTCTTTCCATAGAAGCAGTCACAAACTCTGGCACAGACTTTTGCGCCACAGTGTTGCATCCACTCGGCTGCAGAGAGCGGGCCAAGCAGTCCGATTATGAAGTTTTCTTTAGGGGCAGCTTGGGGGGGGGGCACAATTTACAAGAGGTGAGAGAGGAACCATCACGCGTTCCTTGCTCATCTCGGCTTGCCAGCCCCCTGCCCGCTCTCCTCAGGTCTCGGCTCCCACCTTGGCGCCACCCGTGACAAGCAGACCCCCCGATCTTGAATTATCTATGGGTTCGTAAGGCTGGGACCTTGGTTTATGGGGATTGGGGCCATCGGCACTTGTTGGCCATTAATCCAGCAAGCTCACGCAGTTTGTTAGTGAAGCAAGAAAAGCGGGAGCTAGAGAGGTGAGAAAGAATTGCTGTCAGCAATGAGCCACGTTTACTCTATTTCGGCTTCAACTCTACCATGGACAAGTGCATGCGTCCAAAGAGAATTCTGCAAATTGTTTCACCTTAAGGCAGGGCGTTATCCATTCTGATGTTGCCTTGCCGGGAATGCTTCAGTAAACAACACATATTAATCTGTAATAAGGTCCTACTATGATTCTTTTTCTACTATAGCTTATCCGTTAGAGGAGAAAGCGTATCACAGCAGGGGAAAAAAAGATCAGAAACAGAAAAACTGCAAATCTAGATTCCTGCTACAACTACGGACTCAATAACCCTGAGTTAGTTTGAAAGCATCTATTACAATGTTAGTATGGACATTTTTGAGCTCTTCCAGGCAAAGAGCCATTAGAGCAACCGAGACAGCATACATTGTTAAAGGCTCGTAAAGACCGTCTCGCAGGGGGCAAACAATACCTCCATAGATTACAGAATTCTCAGCGGGGTGGTTGGGTATCCTTGCAAAGGGAGGTGGAACTGCGTTCGGGTGGTTGCAGAGACATCCGCCCGGCCCCCGCCATGCAGCGGGAAGCACCCCCGGGGACCTGCCAAACAGGGGAGCTGTTCTCTTCGCACCTTCGTGTCGTCCATACCTACTGCACGGACCCCAGCGGGGTGGGCAGTGCCTGGTGGGTCATCGGGAAGTCCCTGGCTCTGTCCCCCGAGGTGGCAGCAGAGGTGGGATCTGCTGTGACTCGTGGGTCAGCGGAGTGTGGCCAACACAAGTAGAAACCAGGAGACAAGGTTGGGACGCTGGAGGTGATGAGCAGGTGCAATGGGAAGGTGGGTTCTGGGCTGCCTGAGGAGCTGAGCTGGTGGTGGTGGTGGTGGGGTCTTAGGAGGGCAGGGTCAGCGAGCAGGCCACTTGAAGGAGGGCTCTGTCCGGCTCAGGGTGGTTAGGGCAGCTGGGATCTCCAGGATAGCTGGGTTTGCCAGGACAGCGCGCCCTGGCGGGGGGGGGGGCATCTTCCCCAAGGGCCTCGCTCCCATCCCAGAGAAAAGCAAGGAACAGGAGGGAACCCCTTAAAAGCTTTGACTGGGACATCCCACCACGGCCCTCCCCTCCGACACCATCTCCATTCCCAGGACAGCTGAGGACCTGAGATTTCCCTTGTACCCCAATGCACGCATCACCTGAGCTCCATACCCCCAAATGGTGGTCCCCAAAAGGAGCTGCTCCCGGGACCTCCCAGCCCGAATGTGCACACCCAAAGAGGTCCCTTGGTGGTGGGGAGAGGTGTGGGGCTCTGTGAGTGCCGGCTTCTGGGGTCGAAGCCCATGCCACCTTCATGGGGACAGCAAGAGGGATTCCAGTGTGGGCTCGGGAGCTGGGGACCAGGAATGTGTAGGATTTCGGGGCTGGAGTCATTGCTTTTCGTCTTTCTCTCCACCTGGAAGCCCTCCAAACGGGAGCCTCTTGCTTGCCTCGTTTGAGCCCTGACCCCGTGCGGTAGGTGAGTGTGCGAGTTGTGAGTGTGCAAGTGTGAGTGTGTGCAGGGATGTACAAGCGTGTGGGTGAGCAGGTGAATGAATGCGTGCGTGTGTGAAGGTGTGAGACTGTGTGTTCACCGAAGCTCCTTTGGCAACCCCACCCGCCCTGGACGCATCCCCGTCTCCCTCACCCCAGGTCCTGTTTAGCACAGGCGACTGCAGCCACGAGAATCCTTGTACCTCCATCCTGGTCCTTTCAGCCCGCCCCACCACGCCCTTTGCTAGTGATGGGGGGTTAGTTTGCTCAGATCCGGGGCCGCCCCCTCCCCAACTATCCGCGCGCTCCAGGCAGGCTCTGGCTGCCCACTCACCATGGCCGCGGTGGGCGCGCACCGTCCCTTCCCGCATCCTTCTCTCTCCCAGTTTGACGCGGGAACGGCTGAGACCTCGGGTCCTCATGCTGCAGGGAGGGTCCTGGAAGTCGTGGTCCCCGGGGGGCTGCACAGCCACTAACGAGCCCCGCAGGGCGCGCACAAGGTGAGACTTTATTTTTTCCCCCTCTCCCGGGACCGGCAGCCGCCCCTCGGGGTCCGTCTCTCCAGCGCCCCGGCATCCCGAGAGAGTGACAGGCGACTGGGGGACACCTCTCCGCCGCTTGAGTGGTTTTTTTTTTTTTTTTTTTTTTTTTTTTGCCCCTTCTGGCTCCCTCCTGCTGTGATCCGTGTATCCAGCGCGGAGCTGTCTTCCCAATGTCCCCCTTTTTCCTTGCAGAAGCGTTAAGGTGAGTGGCAACCCCGGTGCCTCTTTGCTGCCTCTCCATCTCTCTACCGTGAGGAGTGGCCAGAGCTCGCTCTTTGAAAAAGCAAAAATGCATCGATGCCTTCAAGACGGGGAGCGTCCAAAACTTGAGGCTTGGCTACCAAGCTCAAACCAGGAGCCTGGGATCCAATCCAGGATTCCGAGGTCCTTGAGCATCTTCTGCTGCTCCCAGAGTCTGTCCAAGCAGTGGGCAGGGATGAGAGTAGACAGGATTCAAACAGAGGCATTCCAATATGGGAGCGAGGTGTCCTAATTCATGTTTTTTTTTTTTAAAGATTTATTTACTTATTGGAAAGTCAGATATATAGAGAGGAAGATCTTCCATCCACTGGTTCACTCCCCAAGCGGCCAGAGCTGAGCTGATCAGAAGCCAGGGGCTTTTTCCAGGTCTCCCACACGCGGGTGCAGGGTCCCAAGGCTTTGGGCTGTCCTCCACTGCTTTCCCAGGCCACAGGCAGGGAGCTGGATGGGAAGCGGGGTCCACCAGCACACGAAGCGGCGCCCACATGGGATGCTGGCACGTACAAGGTGAGGATTTAGCCACGTGCTGGACCCTGCTGCCTTTCTTTGTGACTGGAATGGTCTCCGGATCCTGTGAGCGCACGCTTTGCACCGTCCTCCTATCCTTTATATCGGGACCAGTGTTTACAATGCAAATTTGCAGGACCAAAAACCTTGGACCTTAGACAGGTGCAAGGTCGTCCGCTTAGATGACCCCGAGTGCCACTGGGTGGCGCCCAAGGCGGGCTTCCCTGCGCCCTGCCCTCCACCACAGCATCTGGAGGAGCTGGCACCTAAGGCGCTGGATGCCAGCGGGGCAAACGCAGGTTCCCCCAGCCACGTGAGGACATCAGAACTCACCCTCCGTGGGTTCTGCCATTGCGTCAGACCGTAGCCACCCAGGCTGTGTGAGATTTCGTCATCTCTGCCCTATCTTAGCCCAGGTCCCGAGTAACCACGTTGCCTCTTTTTGCTTCCAGGGTTATCAGAATTGCAGTTGAGCGAGACCTTGTGACTTTAAAACGAAACAGACAACAACAACAACAACAACAACAACAAAAACCCCTCAGGGCTTAGCTTATTCAGTGTCCTTCATGTTCATCTGTATTTTCTCATTCAAGAATGGTATTTTCCTTTTGTCTGAGGTCTTATCATTATTTTTTTAAATTAAATAAGAAAGTTCTTTAAAGACAAATTTTGTTTTATTTTGCAGGGCAGAGAGAGAGGGAGAGAGACAGAGAAAGTGGAGCAGCTGGGAAAAGAACTGGGTGGGTGCCCATACGGCGTGCCACCCCTGCAGTCGGAGGGCTAACCTGCCAATTAGACCATCTATTTGCTGGTTCGCTCCTCAAATGGCCCATAATGTCCTGTTTGGACCAGACCGAAGCCAGGAGCCTGGGATTTCCTCCAGGTCTCTCTTGTGGGCGCAGGGGCCCAAGCACTTGGGTCGTGCGTCCTCCACTGCTTTCCCAGGCCACAGGCAGGGAGCTGGATGGGAAGTGGAGCAGCCGGGACAGGAATCCCATATAGGATGTTCGGGTCACAAGCGACAGCTCAAACTGCTGTGTCCCAGTGCCAAGGCCAAGGTGAGTTTTACCCTTTTGTCTGACAATGGTGACCCCGGGTCCTTCTTCTTCCGTGCCTGGCTGCCATGAACGCGGCTACAGCAAACACGGGACCGCAGAGATCCCCGCCCGGGACACAGGGGAGTTCGTTGTTCACTCCTGAGAAGCGGGGAGCCACTGTCTGTCTTAGAAGCACCCCTTGTAACAACAACAACAAAAAGTCGTATTCCAAGTGAGTGAATGTGTGTGAGTGAGTGTGTGTGAGAGAGGGAGAGGGAGGGAGGGAGAGAGAGAGGGGGAGAGAGAGAGAAGAGAGAGAGAGGGAGGGAGAGAGAGAGGAGAGAGAGAGAAGAGCGAGGAGAGAGAAGAGAGCGAGGAGAGAGAGGGAGGGAAGGAGAGAGAGAAGGAGAGAGAGAAAAGCGAGGAGAGAGCAGGAAGGGAGCGAGAGGGATGGAGAGAGAGAAGAGATCTAGGGGAGAGAGGGAGGGAGAAAGAGAGGGAGAGAGAGAGAGAGAGAGAGAGAAGAGAGCGAGGAGAGAGAGGGAGGGAAGGAGAGAGAGAAAAGAGAGAGAGAGAAAAGCGAGGAGAGAGAAGGAAGGGAGCGAGAGGGATGGAGAGAGAGCGAGAGAGAGAGGGAGAGACAGGGATGGAGAGAGAGGGAAGGAGAGAGAGGGAAGGAGAGGGAGGGAGGGAGCTAGAGAGGGAAAGCTACACATAAGCCCCAAACAAATAGGCATATATATGTATGTACGGATATATACATATATTTATGTATATACGTGTGTGTCTTGGAGGAGAATGGTGGTGGCAGCTGCACGAAAGCGTGAACACGTGAATTGCCACTGCCTGACTTACACACTTCACCAACGTGAAAACAGTGCAACTGGGGCTGGTGTGACTGCTCAACGGCTACATCCTCCCCTTGCACGCATCAGGATCCCATGTGGGCCGCCGGTTCGAATCCCGGCGGCCCCACTTCCCATCCAGCTCCCCGCCTGTGGCCTGGGAAAGCAGTGGAGGAGGGCCCAAAGCCTTGGGACCCTGCACCCGCGTGGGAGACCCGGAAGAAGTTCAGCTTAGCACCGGCCATTGCGGCTACTTGGGAAGTGAACCAGCAGATGGAAGATCTTCCTCTCTGTCTTTCCTTCTCTCGGGCGGGGGGGGGGGGGGACGACTCAAATCTTAAATAACTAAGTAAATCTTTAAAAAGGTAGACAT